CATCGTCATATATTCCATCCATCTGTGCTTTGAATTCTTCTTCTTCGCGGTCCAGTTCATGAGTCTTTTCATCTTCCATAATCTCATCCACATCCAATCCCAGATGTTCTCGCATAAGACGCATGCGTAATTCATGGGCAAATTTTCCAACAAGATATGGTTTACCATCCATTGTCGACCATATCATATCAGTATCTCGAACAACGGCAGCAGTTTCCGAGTCTCTATTTCCCAACATAGATCTCTCGTTGATATTAGCAGAACCAATCAAGGCAATTCTATCATCCACAATGATGACCTTGGCGTGAATGTACAATTGCTCTGTGACGACCATCTTCTTTGGACCAATTCGACCCCATGTTCTGAGACTATAGAATTGTACGAATTCCTCGGGATCAATACCCTGACTCTTTAATCGTCCAAATATAGACCCATCACCACGACAGATACTTCGGAATTGACATTGCATGATCAAGCGCACACTTGTTCCTTCGGGTTCATCCACTGTATTCTGGAATCCAGGCATAAGTGGTATGAGAATCATACACTTCCAGCTCTCATTGTTTCGATAAGCGCGTATAGCACGCTCTACAATTGCATCACCGATCTTGTTGACAATCTTTACATTCATCGTCTCACAACTTGTGATAAAGAATTGATTCTCCATGTAGACGAAATGATCCGATTCTTCAATCATCTTGCAATAAGCAGTCATAATACTATGCTCGGTATCTGTAAGACCTAGGGACCAATCACAAGCTGAACGTAAGATCTGAACTTCACAAGTTCCAGTAAGACCAAGATCTTCCAATTCGGCCTGATTGTAATCAGGGGGTGGAAGAAGGAAGGGTGTTGGTCTTGTCGGTGTACGACCTCTAAGTACATAGTTCCATCTTTGCACGAAGTGTCTGGTCAAATCCCTAGCAGGTTGACCGGCGACTTGCATCGCAACATCGTGCCAAGGCATACGAGGAGTTTTAGAACGATCATACATTTCTGCGTAAGGCTCGTTGAGTTTGTAGAAATCTTGAACACGTGGATTGGAATAATCTTTTCCTGGCCAGAGCTGGCAGTGATCAGCATCTTTAGGCGAATCGGAATGCTCAAAACCTGTAGGTTTATCATCCACCACAGTGTGCTGAGGAGTATCCCAACGACCAAAACAAAGATCGATGCCTCCAACAAAGGCAACTATGTGATCGACGATACAAATCTTTTCGTGATGCGCAAAGAAGAATTGATTTTTCTTGAACTGATTGGGAGATCTTTGTACGAAAATATTTGGGTGCAAATCCAACATAGAGAACTTTGTAAATTCAGAATCGATAGGAATAGCAGCCTCAACATTTCTGTAAACAATGATGAAAACTTTGACTCCTTCCCTAGCTTTCCTCTGTAGCAAACGATCAAGTCTCCACTTCTGACTGATAGCAGCAGGTCTTCGCATGTAAAGTTGAGGACTGAGCCACCAATCGTGAATATAAATCACATCCTTTGCTTCATTGATTGCTCGAGAAACATTCCACATGTAATCACGACCATCTACAAGCCATTGCGCAGTGACCCCAGTTCTCACTGGAGCGAAACTACCAAATCTATGTTCCTTCGCCCATGGTGTGTTAGCAGCCATGAATTTTAACGACTCCTCGAACTGTCTGAGCTGACGTTCATTCTTAGCCAGTAACTTGATCTTGCGCTCTGAATTCTGAAGCTTGAGGCTGTGGTGTTGAGGGTGCTTAGCAGATCTACCCGCTTGTGAGACTTCTTCTTTCGCTTTCGCTTTTCCTTTGCCCATTTCAGATATCTTTCTCCTCTTCTTCTGTATTTCAAACTTTCCATCCACCAAATACACATCATAGATGTGCATGTTTTCTGGCGACTCAACACACACAAGATAACTGTGTCTAACCAAAAACCATTTTGGAGAATGACGGTCGAAAAAGTTATTAGGCGTAAGTATTCTCCTAACATCTAGCCCTTTTGCGGATTGAATAGCAAGATAACCTTCCTTTCCATGATAGCTACCTTCAGCAGCCAACCGTACTCCCATCGAAGATAATTCCAGAAATCTGCACAAGCGGTTACTATCCGCTCTGAAGATGAGCCATCGAATCATTTCTTGAAGATATTGTTCCAATCTTCTTCGCTGACGCTCATTGAATATCCTCTTCTGCTTTTCAGCACTGACTGCATTACCGCTAGCATCCAAGATGGCACGAGTACTTTTTCGTGCAGCACTCATGGATGGACGCCTCTTGATTTTACGTTTTGGTTCTGCCTCGCTTTGCGTGGCCTCGCCATGAGTTATGTCGCCATGAGTCGCCTCGCCGGCTGTTTCCTCCGCACGAACATTATCGGCCTCATCTTCATCACTTTCTCCTAGCCCTCGAACACCTCTGAAGTAAGGGAATGCGGATTTTGGAAATCTTGGTTGCTTTGGTCGCGCGTGGGCTTCGTTCCCCAAGTACTTATCACTGTTTCCTTGGAGCTTATACCGTAAATGTAGATTGGCGAAGTCCTTGAGGGAACGATGAATTATCCATTTCATTCGATTTGGACCGCTTCCATATTCGAGCTCAATTCGAAAAACTAGATGTCTCTCCGAGTCATCTGCGTCCTCTTCGGTAGGTCTGCTGTCCGTGATCTCAATTTTCAGTTGCTCAAGAAGGACTGGAATTCTCTTATTTCCATGCTCATCGCGTTGCATCATACTAGCAAACATGAGGACTGCAGGGGCGCCAGCCCGTAATTCCGCCATGAGTTCAGTAGACTTAAGATAGTCAACCTTGTCTTCCTTCTTGGCTTTGCCAGCAAAGAATTTCATGCTATGCTTTATCATCCGCCATTTTTGAGTGCCAAAAGTACTAGCTCTTTCTGCGCCAAAATACCCCGGTCTTCTAGGTGTTTGCGCTTCGCCCTCACTTTGCCCCCCAAGTCCTGTCACCCTTCTAAACTGACTTGGTCTCTTTGATCTTGCACCATCAACATTTGCAAAATCTTGTGCTTGTGGTGATGTATCAGCAATTGATCCTCGGCCTGGCATCCATGAACTCCCTCGTCGCCATGCACTTTTCCCGTTAATACGATCACGCCCTTCGCCTTCAGACAAATGACCTCTTTGTTCCAAAGACCCATCGGTTGCCCGCCTACCCAAGAAAAATGACCGACTTCCACCTGGGGAATCTGATGGTCCAGCACGAAACCTGGGTGCATTGGGCGCACTGTCTTCTTCCTGTGGTCTTCTCGTTCGGCGTTTCTTTCTTATGCGCGCTGGTTGATTGGATGTGCCTTCATCTGCAGTTTCTTCCGCATCTGCATCGCTACTTTCCTCGTGTAATGTTTGTGGGATATTCGTAGCAATGGGAGTTGTGCCAAGTCCTTCATCAAAATAATTCGTAGGTGTGCTTTGACTTCTGCCATGCCCTTGCATCCCACTTGGGGTAGCTAACGCTTTCAATTTCGACATTATAGATGCACCCCTCCTATCCCTCGCAGGCGTGTCATTGTCTTCTATACCCCATGAATCTTGTCGTGCGGAATTCGGAGGTTCAACAGTCGTCATATCTCTAGCGAATGACACGCTACGTCTGCCAGGTGGAGTTGATATACCATTGGTTGCGGAATGGCTCTCATGAGGAAATGAAGATGGAGGAGGGACTGGGGAAAAGCTGGCGCCTGCATTATTGGCAGATGTTCCAGGAGAGATAGCATCTGACGCAGAAGCTATGGGAGTATGATGTGGAACGCCACCATTCATATAATCGACTGCCTCTTCAGAGATATTGCTCGCTGCATTTGAGGTCGGTGTAGGTATAGCCAGATTGAGTGAATTTCCAGGCTTCTCAGAACTCACAGTCCGTAGACCCGATGGTCGTACAATTGAAGATCCATTTCCATGAGTGTTTATGGGCGATTGTGAGCGTGGAGTTCGTGCCGATGGTGAGATTGAGCCTGTTGTGCTTTGTGCCATTGTAAACTCTAGGTTCTGGTGGTAGGGGGATTCTTTCTAGAAGTAATCTCGATTTCCTACAAGCTAAGGTCCGGTCAGGACAGTATCGTGCTATCAGATGTATATCGCAAAGTTCATTGTGAGCAATTATGTTGTAAGTTGTCGAGTTTAATCGAGTCGAATTCCCTTTCAAGGGCGTGAATACAATGTTGAAAGTTCCAAGGGTGTTCGAGTTTGGTTGATGTTGAGGGGGAACCAAGGTATGGGTCTGTTGATCGTTTCCAATTGATTGAATTGTTAGACAGCTCAATTGCCAACCTAGATACTCGAGTAGATAGGTAGGGAATGGACAGAGTAATAGGTACCTATATCGAGTGAAAGAGTGAGCAAGAGATTTGACAATTGAAAATGTTTCTCATGTACCTACTCGAGTACGAAGGATGTATCTTACAAAAGGTAGGAGGTAGGTGGTAGGTGGTAGGTGGTAGGTGGTAGGTATGGTATACTCGAAGAATAAATAAAGGGTCGATCAGGGATTTTGTATTATTAGAATTCCTGGGTGGTATTTCAAAGAAAATAGGGAGCCAATCTCCCAGGGATCACTGTTAGATACATAGGAAATGACGTTTGACTAGGGGTCACCGTACACCGTAGATCCCCTTTAAATCGTTTTACCATTTGCTATTTGCCATTTGCCATTTGCCATTTGCCGCGCCTTCTTCGTCTTCTAGAAAAAGATATAGCTAGGTAGGTATTGGGTGATATAGTATATAGTATATATATACATACAGGTAGGTAATAGATATATGTATCTATACATTTATAAAACCTCTTCATTTAATAGGTCAAACATCTTCATCCTCAAATACTACTTAGGTAAATACTTGATCGACTGTGAACATTGTCTGGGGAAGACACAGGGAGAGGAAGGAGACATCTATAAACTACTTATTATCTTGACTAATTCAACCAGATAGACAGACCCCTTCCCTTCCCTTGCCATGAGTAGGTAGGTAAGTGGAGTAAAGATCTGAAAGATTAAAAAGATCTTGCATTGCATTCACAACCCCACTCTTTCTTTTATCCTACACCACCTTATGAACCTTGATAACCTTCTCATCCGAGCTTAATAGCTTTGTTCAAACGGGTGTTCGCTTCCCCATCTAGCTTTCAAGACCTACCTACCTAGTACTCGAATATATATCAGAACTCGCTTCAAACATCATGGCTACCCCTAACCCCCTTGAAAATGCTCCTCCAGCTATATCTATATCGGAAAAAACGTTTCACATCGCTGGTATCCTAACAACCATTTATGGTCTCGAGGAAATATCCCCATCATGTACATCCATATCATGTCTCTGGCTTCTCCACCCACGACTCCAAACCAAGAAAATCATGGAAAATGTAGCTTCGACTTGTATTCGAGGATGGAATCAACAATCAGGTTCCAATCGAACGGTTGCTTTGATCGCGGTTGCTTTTGATCAAAGAAATCATGGAAGCAGAGAAGTCAATGCTTTAGCAAATGAGTCGTGGAGAGATGGTAATGAGACTCATGCTCAAGATATGTTCAGGTTCGACACCTTGTAGTATGCGTAGATTGAAAATGGCTCATTCAGTGTAGTATATTTCATGGAACGGCAATGGATACAAGTCTCTTGATAGATCATTTACCTTCCTACATCTTCAATACCAGAGATTCCCCTTCCATCGACCAACATCTCGTCTTGGGTATCTCTCTCGGAGGTCATTCAGCATGGCAAGTTTTGTTTGCTGATCCAAGAGTCACTGCTGGTGTGGTGATTATTGGATGCCCTGATTACCTGCGTAAGTCTGCTTTCATAAATATTAGAATCAAAAAGACTTATGACATGTGTATAAACATGTGCGTCTTCACGCTACACTTTACCGTAGAATTGATTAACCAGAGTATCTGGAAATAAGCTGTTTCCATTTTTGGTACGCAAAAGGGGAGATCCTCGAGTGAGCCACGCATTTGGGAAGAAAATTTTCCAAACTCATCAAAAAACGATCAAGAATTATCCTCCCACCGTAAATGTGTGGGTTGAAATCTCAAGACCGATCTGGAAATAGTCACCCAGTAACCCTATAATATTACCAAAACCCCTCAGCAAGCAGTAAACATTGTCGATAATGGAGTCAAGCGAAGAAGGAAAAAGCAGATTCGCTCCTACAAAAACAATCCTCCACACATCTGAAAAGAAAATAATATACACACAACAAACAAACCAGCCTACCACTAAACCCCTACTAACACCCACCCCAGGAATAATGACCGACCGAGCGCGTCTCTCCAAACTCTCCACCTACACATCCACCTCTCCCCCCGGCATCTCCTTCCAGGGAAGCAAAGACTTCCCGCCCGCCCTGATTTCCAGTCTCCAAAAATGGGACCCGGCATCCATTCTCTTCGGAACATCTCCCATCCCCTCGACCTCCCCACCATCCCCTCAAGCCCAATCTCTCTACACACCCATCCTCACCCAAAAAATCGCCCACAAACGAATCCTCGTCTGCTCCGGCGCCGACGATAAATTGGTCCCCTATCATTGTTCTGCGCCCTTTCTACAATTTTTGAAAAATGCCACCGATGCGCAAACAGGCTGGTGGAATGAAGGTGCCTTGTTTTTGGACGATAGAGTCTATCCTGGAGTGGGTCATGCGTTTAGTAAGGATATGCTGGGTGATACGGTGAAGTTTGTGAATGAGACGCTGGCTGGGAAGATGGGAGAGGGTACGGGCAGTCAGGCCAGGATTTAAGTTTTGTGAATAAGTGGGAGCAGAGGAGAGGAGGAAGAATGAAAGGGGGATTGTTAAGCTATACCGCGGGGTAGATAGATAGAGAGAGATGCCTCCTAAGTAGATTGAATCTTAAACTATCTGTCTATCTTTTTCTTTGAAATGTATACCAGTTGTGCTAGCACTTCTCTCTCTCTCTGTCTCTCTCTCTCTCTCTCTCTCTCTCTCTCTCTCTCTCAAAGTTTTTCCTGCTTTATCTCGCACGTCACTACATACTAACAAGTAGTGAAGTCACAATTGCTTTCCCCAACATGCAAGAGAATGGTTATACAAGTATAAGTGATTCATTATCATTTATCTTTAGCCTGTTTAGACGCACTCTAAACTCAACCCAAGGCCTTCCTTATGCATATCAAAGAAGACGCACCTCCCATAACCACTCAGAAACGGATAGAACTAGTTTGTTCTTCATAAAGCTTAAAGTCTATATCTGCCCTTCTTCCAATTCTTCAATCATAAAATGGCATGGCATATACCTAAGATTATCCTCCTATCAGCTTGCGAAATTATTGCATGAAGCATACCTAACTTTTTAAGACCCCACTCCGGAGAAAGTTTCCCTCGTGTGTCTTGCTAAAACTTCTTCTCGCTCCCTTCAAATTTCCTCGCAACAAACTTTTTATATCTCGCCCCCTATTTCATCGGTATTGGAACATGAGGATATTGCACCCAAACCCTCACATCACTCTCTACCCACTCATCCGGAATTCCTCTCATACACCCCTCTATGATCCCTCTATTCACCCTCTCATTGTATCCCTCGCCCAATCCCATTCCCCCAGGTACCCCCGTAAAAACCACCACATCCCTCTCCATTTCTACCTCCTTCAATCTCCTCTTCAATCCCCACCCCATCCCAAACGCTCGTCCAAACCCTTCGCATTTCAATCTCATCACATCCGCACGCGCCATGCCAAATTGTGGTTCCGATTCCTTCTTATCCAGCTCCAGCAGTGTATAAAGAGTATTCTCATGAACCTCCCATATTAATCCATAGACGACTTTATCAACAGTATTATACTCTGCTTCTGCTTCCTCGTTCTTCAAGTCCGAATCCGGTACGATATTTCGATAACAACATACTCCCTCAACCTTCTCATCGACACAAAACATCCATCCATCCAATCTTCCTATTCCAAGTAACTTCACATCTGAACATATAGTTTCCATGAGTTCCTCGCACATATCTGCTCCAACGGCGAAAAATCGAATAGTGGGACTAGGATCAGGAGTAGGTTTGTGATTGGCAGCAGCCATATCTTGACGGATTTTCTCCTTCTGAAGAGCTTCATATATTTGCTTTTGAAGTTTCTCTTCAACTGCAGTCATCTCCTTTTTCGTAGGAAGAATGGGAGTAGAAATTTCATCTTCTTGGTTAAAGTTCATGTTACGCCAATCTTCAGATGCGGTTGTGGAGTTTCTGTTGGATTTGAGTTCGTCTTCTGAAACTTCCATGTCTGAAAGTAGGATTTGTTGGGTATGGGGAACGTTCATTTGCATATCGTCGATTTCGATTGAGAGTTCGAGTTCTGGTTCTGATGAATCTTCATTTTTGATTTCTTCGTCGGAATCTTCGTTCTCATTTTCGTCTTCCTCGTTATCTCTCTCCTCGCCGTTATCTTCTCCATCATCTTCTCTATCCCCATACCCGTCACCATATCCATTCATATTCTCATCATCCTCATCCTCGTCTTCATTCTCGTTCCCATCATCATCTCCACCCGGTCGTTCAGCCCGACCATGGCTATAGGAACCTCTATATCCACCTCCAACTCGATACGAAGAACGATTATATCCACTCATAAACTCGCGCTCATCATGACGGCTTCCATCTTCTCGCGGTAAAGAAAGTGAAACCGATTCGGGTTCCGAGTCAGATGTGTATGGTGGAATGGAATTTGAACGAGAAAGCGATGCGCTTTCATTTTTTATGGCGGACATTTCTGTGAATGTGATATAATGTGATGAGATGTGTGTCAAGGTGTTGTTAAGTTCTTTCTCAAGTGAATAAGATACAAAAGATTGGCGATACAGATTTTGTATTGAAGATGATTGCGAAGTAGTTGGTGGGTTGAGAATTTTATAACCCAAGGCAAAAGGTTGAGGTTTAAATAGAGAGCTTGAGAAGAATATTGGTACAGCTGATTCCTAAAGCGGCCGTATACTAATTTAAAGTCAAAAGTGAAAGTGAATTTTTGGTGGCAGTTGTGGTTATATTGATAATGTCTTGATATCTGAGATGATCAGCTGACATATAGACTGAACAAGGTGAGGTTAGAGGGAGAGAAAGAGAGGACAGATATTGATCTGAAAGTATGAAGTAAAAAGTATCATACTCATCCAGAACAACAATCACATAACCAGATACTATCGTCTGATTTAGCTAAGAGAACTCCGGTAAATATCTCAGAAGGGCTAAGGTAATCCTTAAAGAGTTCGATTTACCTAAGTGAAGAAGGTAGTTGAATCCAAAGGTTGAAGAATCCCAAGTGAAGCGAGCTTCAATGGGTGAAGAGTGAGTTAATATTGGCTGAGCGTTATTGTTGAGCATTCTCCAAATGGGAGTGAGTGAGTGAGAGTGAGCATGAGAGAGTAGACAAGCGCGAATCAATGTCAAAGACCAAAATATGAGAGAAGATGATGTAAAGTTGTATCACCTAACTAGAATTGATGATCTTGGTACCGTATACACACATTGTTTATCAGTGAAAAAAAGAGGAAAAGAGAGAGGAGATAAGTAGTCAAGGCTCTATATCTCCGTCACCAAATTTCGAGGTTCTATTCTTGTGTCATGTTCTTCGCACCTAAAAGTGCAAATAAGGAAAGAACGACTGTGTCAAACCCATTGAAGCTGCAAGTACACATTTTTGGGAGATACTCCCAGGCAGATATATCATCCCTTATTTGAACAGTCCTCGGGAATATAACAAGCAACTCCACGCAAAGCGAGCATAAAGTTTGAACAGAGAAAGGCAATCTTCTTTTGATATAGATTTCTTCATATTCTTTGACGTAGAAGAGTTCCTACCATAACAAGCAGAATGCATCTAACACTAACTGCAAGCTCTACTAGGTAATCCTCTCGCTTTCCTTCCTAACTAATCTTTATACAGCCAGTGAAAGAGATTAGCCAACTATCTAGTAATATCTCAACGAGACTCTTCTAGAACAAAAATTCATCAATATCAATAAACTCAAGATAGAGATAAAGATTAAATGAAATGAACTGAACCGAAAGGAACTCTCCATCTCAATTCCCAGCCATCACTCCAAACTCGAGAAATCCTCAAAATCTGTTGTATGTACCTCCAGTAACCAAACCACATCCTCAAAGCTCAAACTAAAAACCATCCTCCCCGACTTTCCAAAACAAGATTTCGTTGAGTATTTATACATGTACATGTACATATCTTTCAAATATACGATTTCGAGTGAGATGTAAAGGTAGGTAGGTAGGTAGTCTGAAGATGGAAAGACTTGGATTGTATATCTGTATATCTGCATTCCAAACTCCTTTTGCGTAGCCCCTTTCCCCCTTTCACCCTTCCACCCATTTTTAATATTCGCAAGCGGCGATGATTGATTGATATACTCATCCATATATGTGTACACACATTCCCACTCGCAACAAGAAAAACACAAAAACGTAGAGTAAAAGCAAGATCAGTATTCTATGAAGCCTTTTCACGCGAATAGAGTTACTATCAACCTTCTCGTTAAGTCAAAAGATACTCCTTATCAAACGAAGAAAAAACATCGCAGTATAACACTACCATAAAGGAACTTTAAAGTTTTGAATCTTGAGCTTTGGAATAGTAGAAATGAAGAAAATATACCGATCTTTCATCCAAGACAGACCTCACAAACCCATTCTCACCATATCACCTCATCCACCCTAACAATTCCAAGGCAGAACCCCCCCCTCCTTAATCACCTCTTCTCTCCTTACTCCCTCTCCATCCTTAATCACCTCTTCTCTCCTTACTCCCTCTCCCTCCTCCAACCACCTCGTGCTCAGTCCACTTTTCACTCTCTCCTCCTCGCTCTCAAACAATTTTCTCTCCTCCCCTTTAATACCCCACTTATCCCTCCCACCCCTCTTCATCCTCAACACGCTCCCCGTCCCCCACAAATCTCGTTTCCACTCTCCATACCCCCTTTCCCTCTCCCCCTTCACCGTATCCTCGCATTTCTCGCGATCAAACTCCCTACTCTCTTCATCCATAAACTCAGGATTGATTCCTTCAAAAATAACTTCCACTCCTTTCCCCTTCCCTTTCCCGCCCATTCCATCCGCGTCCTCATCCCCGTCATCTTCCACCCCCCTCTCCCCCTTTAAACAAATCCCCATCCCCATACCCAACCCCAAAACCCCACAATGCAACTCCTCAAACCTCTCCCTCTTAAACCCATGACTCACAATCGAAATTCTCCGCGGCCACTCCCCCGTCCCTCTCCAAAAAGCCAGCAAGCCCCTCACCAAATTCTCATAACTATCCAGCGCCTCCTCCTCCAGGAAAATCCTTCCCTCTCCCCTCCCCCTCCTCACTTCAGTAACTAAATCCCCCCTTCCCCACACCCCCCTCTCCACCCCCACTTCAAAATACCCCATCGCCTCACTCCTCTCCACCTCTCCCCTCGTACACCCCCCACTAATAACCAACAAACTACTCTCATCCTCCTTCCACAATCCTGCCGCACGCAAGATATGCTTGATAAAAGTCATCCATTCGTGACCCTCTTTTTGGAAGGGAGCCAGCAGCCATGAGGATTCGAGCTCTGGAGGTCCGGAAACATAGATGGCGTGGCAGGTGAGCAGGATGAGATGAGTTGGTTTGGAGGTAGGATTTGGGGTTGAGTGCATTGTAACATTGAGCCTGGAGAGGATTTAAAGTGTGACGAAGGTTGATGAATTATTACACATATAGGTTTTATGAAGTAAATAGGGTAGGTAGGTAGCAATTTGAGGAGATAAAAAGAGCAATCGATTAAGAAGTATATAAATCTCTCAAAAGGTAAAATAGAAACCTATCAGATACCAAAGATCGGAAAGACTAATATATCAATCATATCATAATTCACAAATTATTCTCGTTTATATAAGTGTGTATTAGGGGATCGATTCATTTAGCATTCCGAAAATTAAGGACACTTCCCTTCGATTCGATTCGGTTAATCTATCTAGTACTGTAGTTAGACTCAAACCCCACTCCCATATCATGCATGCACTTCAAAATCTTCGAAAACTTTAACTAAACATCCTACCTAACTACTTACCTAACTCCCCCCGCAATCTACTCAACTATTCAAGAATTAATCTTGTAGGATCTCGTTCCTATTACCTATCTTCCCCTATCTGCATCTACCTGACATCTACCTGACCTCAGTTTTTCTTCCGGCTTACTATATGCCATGTCCCACATGCCACACTACACACCACAGATTAATCACTCACACAGAAAACACCATTTCAAAGAAGATTTATTATTCATATTTCATATTTCATGTTCATACTTCCCTTATCATCTCTCTTTCATCTTTCTCCTAGTATTCTAGACTACCCTTTCCCCATCTATAACCCTGACCGCCATCTCATCTCCACCCCCAAACTCCTTCCATCCTATACACATCAAATATCACCCCTTTTCCCTTCACAAGAGACCAAGTAATAAAGTCATGCAATCATAATAATTCCCAAATCCTCTCGCTCCTAATGAATCATAAAAGAAGAAGAAAGAAAAATTGGTAAAATCACGCGAGTACATACATTTGTATGTACCATCTCCCCTATCCACCTCCGCTAACTGGGGTATCTTTATCCTTTCCTGTCCATTCATTGCATATCCAATGCATTCATATCTTAAACCCTCCGATCTCAGAACCACATTCTCCCCATTCCTCCCTCATCTCTCTTTCCGCCAGGAAACTAAACACCTCTAAACATCCTGACAATCAAAAACCACATAGCACCAATAAACTTAAAACAACTCAATCCTGCCACACTCCATAAAACCACAGCCATATAAATCGTACTCTTCGTCGTATCATCAGTACTCGTATCGATATTCTCCAAGCCCGCTGTACTAAGCACCGCACTCGTGAGTGCAAAATTACAAACCAACCAGAACAACACTACTGAAGATCTGAACCATTTGTAATAATCTTCTTGCTTCTCTTCTGCCGAGAATTCACGTTTCTCAGGCGGTGCTTTGATTTGAATCTTGCGCATTTCGGATTCGTATTGAGCGTTGAGATCGCCATCGTCAGTGGGAATGTTGACATCGACTTTACCACCAGCTTTGAGCACAGCAGATGGAAGTTTCTCGGCTTTGTCATCTCCTTTGGTACCCCATGTAATATCGTGAGTGTTACAGAAAGCGTAAACGTTGAGAATGTTGATATATGTTGGGGTGAGAAGAAGATATTGAAGGAAAGATGTGAACATGTGCCATGGGTCGAAGAATAAAAAGGAAGAAATGAACCAGAGGAGATAAGTTGAGGCGAGAGAAATGATCAAAGTATAGAAGATTTGATTCTTGATAATATCCGTCCAATTAAATTGGTCCTTTGCAAGTTGAGTTTGAATTGATTTGACCGTGATGAAAATTGAAGCAAACATTAGGTATCTATTCCAGTTAGTAGGAGAAATTTAGACAAAGCGGAAAATACTCACATCATGATGATAATCCAGAAATAAACCATCGACATATAAACTTTGTTCGTTCCTTGAGGTCGATTTCCCAGCGCCAGAATGAAACAGGTCAAAAGCGTAAACAAGTAAAGCCATTCGAAAACAACACCAAGAATTACACCAACATTACCCAGCAAGTCAGCACTTCCGAGAGATGTAGTCAAGATGTGAAAGACCAGAAAGAAATTACCAAGAGCGAACCAAGCGAAGATCATGTTAATGGTTTGGTATGTGAATTCAATCAAGAACATGATCTTTCGTAAAAAGCTGTGATCACTTCGGAAAAGTTGATAGAAATGAGCAAGAGCATAGATAGCAGCGAAGAAACTTCCGTTAAGCCATCTTCGACGTTGCAAAATAAGTTCGGCCATTGTATCCGGTACATCGGTTTCTCCAGTAGCAGACTTGACGTATTGTAAGATCCAGTGACAATTTCTCTTGGATACCAATTCGAAACACAAAATACGATCTTCGGCAAGGTACATGTTTGCAGTGAAAATGCCAGCGTTTGCTCCGTGCATCTTCTCTCCTGCAAAGTACTTCTCCAGTGGTCCATTTCCGGTTTTATCGTTTTGCAACGCAACATATCGATATGCAGAAAAGGCACCTGGCAACACCGAAATGAATCCAAATGCCGATTCAAGAGGCTTGTCCAGAATATTACTCATTTTGTACTCGAAATTCTGGGTAGCAACCAATGGATTTAGCAAATTCTTTCCTCCTGGACCCAACATAGCTTTGATCTCACCACAAGCTCCTGCACAATGTGGTTCCAAATCGAAAGCTTTCCATAGATGATAAATTGAGTCTTTTCCTGGCTTTGTACCAGCATCGATGAGTACACAAATGTTAGGATCGAGTACTCTACCAAAGGCTTGGAAGAACCATCTGTGAGAGTTAATCTTTTTCTGATTCTTTTCCTTCAAGCAGAAAAGCAATTGAACGGGTTGCTGTTTTGGTGTGAGTGTAACAATATCCTTCTTCAAAGCAATTCCGACTTGAGTCGTATATTCGTAGATATGTGCTGTCACGTCCTTGCCATTAACTTGTTGCTTCGCGATTCCATCTTGATAAACTCCCAAACCAGCCAAAACAGCTCTTGTTCTTGGATTGATCTTAGCACGTCCATCACTGACCACACACACTACAATCTTCTTCCAGGCATCCTTTCCCCATGTTTTACTATCTTTGCGAGTGCACATAAATTCAATGTTTTTGAATACGCCGTGCATTGTTCTAGCAAATAACACATCATCTTCATTATACATTGTAACAACGATGAAGAGTTCTGTATGCCGAGGCTTTGCAAAGAGTTTTTGTCGCAATGTGAAGCGCTCTTCGAAAAACTCACTGGGGTCGCATGTTGCGGCTGAGTATCTCATATGTGTAAACTCATCTCTCTCCGGTGGTGGTGCATGATTGACTTGATTTAAAAGCTTAGGAGGAATCGGACAATCAAGTATGAGATTTCCATTAAACAGTTGGACTTCCTTAACTGTCTTGTATCTTCTCAACGCTGGTACAGGTGTCGCAGATGGAGATTGTCCCGCCCCGTCATAACCACCTTTGTAATCGGTGCCACTAGCTGAGTGCGGATCTGGCCCATAAGGTTCATGCGATTGTAGAATTGGTTGATGGTCATCATCGTCATTGTAGTAAGGGTCTTGCGCTGGGGGGTAATTATGTAAAGGGTGTTCTTCATGAGGAGAAGGTTGGTATGGAGGTTGGTAGTAAGCATCGTGATGCGCGTTAGGATCTAGAGAATATTCCGAGTCGTAGCTTTGACTGGGATTGAGGGGCATACGCTGATGGTATTGGCTTTGATCTAAATGTTCGACTGAATACTGTATGATACATGTTAGCTATAATCATATCTCTCTGCAGACACAAGGCACGCCCAAATATGTACTTACAGATGGTTGAGCTTGCAGTTGATCACTTGGCGTTCCAACTCTATGTGCTCCAGGACCCATAGGTATCTCGAGATTGTGCATTCCAGGACCGGGTGAAGTAGTATGTGGCCTTCCATATGGCGCATCTTCTAGTTGGTACCCTTGAGGGTGCGGCGACTGATGTCTGTTATTCATATTGTAATAATCGTCTTGGCCTTGGCCCGCCGGATCTGTGTGAGTTGAATATTAGAAAGACTTATTGTAAACAAACACAAGTGTATATTCTGTAGATAGTCCTCTCCACAAGAAGAAATGATGTTTTTGCCGTAGCAGGAGGAGGTAAATTGAATGTTTGAAGTGATTTAGGGTTCCATCAAGGAATCCTTCTTGCGCAGCAAAGTTCAACTTGATTGTGCCTTTTCGTGTTGGTTGCTATGCGCCGCAAAACTGGATACACTGGCCGACGTGAATGGTCTTCAAGACAACAATACGATTTGATTCCAAATTTGAGATTCATTCACTGCTATCACCACGCGAAACTCGGATAATGTGTGCTTAGAAGGTGGAGAATAGATGTGCGAAATTAGATAGGAGGACATACCTAATCGATTATAGGACATGGTATTGATGTATCAAATTAACCGTCCTATTTGTGATGAGATCTGTGGGGTGAAGGGGATTGCGTGGGAGCAAAATGAGGTTCCTTGCGATGGGCTCAAGCTCAGTTGGGAATGTCTTGCCGTCAATCCTCTAGGTGAGATGTGCAAGGTTGCAGATGGACTATGTTGATGCGTAGGGTTAGAATTAACTTTTTCTCCCCCCTATTATTTCCTTCCTTATGCCCCGAGAGTCAAGATACGAAGACGCGAAAGCACAGAAGACAGAGTTTCGAAGAGACGACAAGATTTTTTGGGCTTAGGTTGTTCCGAGTAAGATGGAATTTCTGCTTGTGAGAGGTGGTTTCACCTTGAGGAGGGCCGCGCATTAAAAAGGATGTTAGAAATTTGGTAGGGATTGTAAACAGAGTGGATGATCAGAAAGTGGTTGCCAAGGCAAAGTAATCCTTGAAGATCCCTTGTACCTTTCGTACATGGTGGTGATTATCTTGTATCTACCTAGGACTCGAGTAGGACTGTAGTAGTGATACATGCACAGTTCTCAGGTTTCATATCATCAGATATCGATAGTGGGTGAGGATGGGTGTTTTGGATAGCACGGAGCAGATTTCCCTCCCCTCGATGAAATGACGCTGGGTTAAGTTGGCTCGTGAGTTGAGGGAAGAGAGAAGATTGGATAATTAATTGCCTTGGATCTGGAGAGATAAAGATCTACAATCAAGCAAGGTATTGAATTTTATGATAATTCAATTAATTACATACATTATTATTTGATTTGATATTTGATATATAACTAACGTTAACTTGATATATTGTTCCAAATTACCCAGCCTCCCATTTCTCCTTTCTCCCTTCTCTCTTCTCTCACCAAAAAAGCGGAATCTATACTGCTGGTAGATACTAGAAAGCCTCTTATTCTCCATAGTGGCTTATAAGGATCTCTTTGTCAAATCATCAACATACGAAGCGCTGTACCATCTACATACTAAGAGGTCAGGGAAACACGTCGCCCCAAGAATTACTAGTTAGGTAAGAACTAAAGAACTAAAGAACTAAAGAACTAAAAAATCGTCTCAAAATAGAAACTCACACTAGAACCAAATGCATTCAACCACCCACGTGCACATAGCAAGGTACCGCAGCAAGACTTCAAATTCTCCTTCCAACCAATCAATGATCATTTGGACTCTCATACATAGCCTTTTTGGACAATACAGATGCGGCTATGCAAGAGATGCCACTATCGGTACTTCACAGATCCATGTGTGTGTGAGAGAGAGAGATCCTTTGAGCCGGAAGCTTTTTTTGGTCTACCAAGGTAATGGATGTTTGGAAGGCTACGTTTGAGGCTGAGTATAAATGTTCAAGCATCTTCCGGGTCCGCAGGTTATGAATTCAATGACATCGATCGACTTCACCGATGCCCCAACGTCACATTCATGCTTTATATTCATACCTAACTTCGCCTTCATAATACATTCACGGGACATAGAGTAAATCTCGGCATTCTCAAGTTCTTGGATATGGTGGCTGAGACGTCGAGAAATTCGCGTTCAATCATCTACCTTGACTGTAAGTGGTTCAGACGGTTGCAAATACGAATTAAGGTAACGTATATGCAGCTTCCTTTCAGCTGTTGAATGTTGGCAATGCATTTCGGTAACATCGTCAATTCCTTCATTACATGTTTGCTTTCTTGGAGGTTCATCATTCGAGTAATATCCAGCGGGGTATTCCATGGTGGGGGAGTTTGCTTCAACGGTCGTGTCAATATATATGTCAGCCTTTATGCGCATAGGTGATCATGTCACATACATGAAAACGTTAGAGAGTATCTCTACTTCGTATGCTTTAGACCTCGTTGATTCCAGAAGATGCGATTGCTATTCGTCTTGCACAGTTCCTTTGTGAGAAAGTTTATGTTGACAGACACTCCTCTCATGGGATATGTGCTCACCGACATTTTGATAATGTCATAAAATCACTATGAAAAGAAGACTTTGCCATGCATGTCATTATGATAGCAAAAATCTTCTCGGGAAGTCAAATTGCATCCCCCACTCATACATGGACTGACTAATGGGCATTCATATAATTGTGATCTTTATCCTTCTATCCATATATACATGGCATCAAACATCAAATCCCCCTCAATCCTCAACATCCGGAAAAGTCGACTTCAAGAAATTCTTGGAAAACCTCGTACACTGTTCATAAGCAGCCTTGAATCCATCATTCCCACCATAATAAGGATCATCTACTTCCTCGGGGCTAGAACCTCCTGCATACTCTCCAAATAACATAACTTTTGCTTTACCCTCAGTTCTCTTTTCCAAGGAGAGAAGATCTTCAAGATTGTTGCTATCCATAGCAAAGATATAATCAAAATTCTTGAAATCATTGATAAAAACCTAGACGAGATGTCAATAAACAAAGTTCAACCAGCAGTGTGATGAATGTATCAGATAAAGCTTACCTTTCTAGCCTTGTGCTTATAATCGCAAATTCCATTCTCTCTAAGCGTAGCCATGGTACGTGAATCTGGGGAAGATCCAGTATGATAGGCTGCAGTTCCTACATCCAAAAATTAATCTCAAAATATATGAAGGAAATATTAACCGGAATGAAGGTACCACATGAATCAACATTAGATATCAAGGATGCGTAAGGACCCTGGGAGACCATGGATCTAAAGATTCCCTCTGCCATGGTTGAACGACAAATGTTTCCCAAGCAGACGAACAAGACTGAAATCGGTTCTGTTGACATTTTGATAGATATTGAAGTTGTTTAGATGTACTCGAGTACTTTTTGAGTTGAATCGAAGAAGAATTTGATTTGATGATCAATCTGTAGCCACCCGACCGTTGGGACCCGAAACGGATCCTCCGATGCCGATATCTTCTTTTATTTCGATTATCACTCCTTCATTTCTACGAAGCACACAAGTTCCACCACATCCCAACTTTCATTTATCAATTGATTATCAAATGATACAACTCCCAATTGATCGTTAAGCTGGCCATTCATTCATCCATTCCCTTTGACACATTCCCCGCATATCTTTCCTTCATTTACCGCAAATGCAGGTGTAAGATAAGAAACCAATCAATGGTACTTATCGATTCGATATATTCACAATGTCAGCCAAGGCTGGTAAATGGAATATCCAATCACAATGGTGGGATACCTGCATATATTCCAGGAGTCGTGTGTAAATACCAAGGCGCGGTGCATCGTTCACTGTTGGGACAAGGCGGGAATACTACCCGAATCCGGATGGTGATAAAGTTGTACAACTTCATATCGATTACATTTCGAGTGAAATGCAGGACATGAGCATAAGTGTATATCCAGACCGTATCGAACATGCAGGCCAAGCCGAATGGTAAGCTGAGATCAAGTAATGGCATGATGGACAAGATCAGGAACCAAAGTATATGTTTGCGTCTTGTGTCAATCTCATCCTATGTTTCTGGAGAGAGCGATATCACGACAATGATAGATTGATAAGGGGCAGCTTTCAAGGATAGAGTATAATGATATGAAATTCAGTAAGTTCCAACCATCATAGACTCAATTGGAACTTTGAGGACGACAAATGGCACCATTTGACCAAGAGATTCGGCCGATAGCACCTGCCTCTTTTGTAACATATACTTCACATCTTTCTTGGCTCACATTAGGTGAATGAGATAACAATACTTTTTACGATCTTCCCCTCTTCTGTTGAGCCGAAGGCGAAGGCAATTAATAAGGTGCAATCAAGTACAAAAGGCAAACAATTCCCATCTCCTTGATCACTTCTTTTCTTCCAAGTCCAACTTCGACACCTCTGATTTACCTGGTGTTCTCTTGTTGATACATCTTCATAGTCCTTTCTAGGGATCAATATCGTGAGTTGATCACAAGTACCAATGGGGAATACAACATTACTAACACATAAACTTTGAAGATCAAGATGAAGTTCTCTCGCGTGGTTTCTGGTTTGGCAGTATGTAGCTTTGCTGCATGCGAGTCTTCCATGGAACTCTTGGAATCGCTTCGCGAAATCCCGCAAGGTTGGGCTCAACTCGAGAAACCTCGCCCATATAAAACGATCAAGCTTCGAATTGCTTTGGAACAACCAGATCATGAACTTTTCGAGCAGAAGCTTTATGCCGTCTCATCACCTGATCACGTCGAATATGGTCAACATCTTGAGCGTGAAGAGCTTAAACGATTCATCAAGCCAGCTGATCAGACTACTCAGGCCGTTTTATCATGGTTGGAGAAATCTGGTATCTCCGAGTCGAACATCCACAATGATGGAGAATGGATCAACTTCCGTACTTCAATTAAGCAAGCGGAGGATATGTTGAATACCACATTCCATTACTATGCTCATCAAGATCAGAAGCACAATAAGCAAATTCGAACATTGGGATATTCCATTCCAAAGGAGGTTTCGCGTCACATCACAATGATTCAACCTACAACCAGGTTTGGTCAAATTAGAGCGCAACGCAGCCAAGTATTCCGTGAGGATTTTGGTGCTCTTTCTTTGCCAACACTCAATACTACTGCCTGCAATGTTACAATCACTCCTCAATGTCTTCGAGATCTTTACAACATCGGCAACTACACTGCTAAGGCAAATCCCGAGTCACGTCTAGGAGTCGCTGGATACCTTGGTCAATGGGCAAAGTATGACGGTTTAGAAGCTTTCTTGGAGAAATATGCTCCATATGCTGTTAGCCAAAACTTCTCTTATGCACTCATCAATGGAGGTTTGGATACACAAAACTCAACAAACAACGATGGAGAAGCGAATTTGGATATTCAATATGTTGCTGCCATGGGTTTCGATACCAATATTACTTACTACAGTACCGGTGGTCTAGGAGTTCTCGTTCCAGATCTCGATCAACCATCATTAGACGACAATCAAAATGAACCATATTTGGACTACCTTAACTACATGTTGAGTCTCCCCAACAACCAATTGCCACAAACAATCACAACTTCATACGGAGAAGATGAACAATCTGTTCCAGAGGCTTACTCTAAAACCGTATGCAAGATGTTCGGTCAATTAGGTATGAGAGGTGTATCTATCCTCTTCTCCTCTGGAGATACCGGTGTAGGATCGGCTTGCCAAACTAATGATGGAAAAAATACTACGCGATTTTTACCTATTTTCCCAGCCGCTTGTCCTTATGTGACTTCAGTAGGAGGAACTAGATACGTGGAACCAGAGGCAGCAGTTTCTTTCTCTTCGGGTGGCTTCAGTGATAGATGGCCTCGTCCTTCGTATCAAGATGATGCTGTCAAGGGATACTTGAAGATTTTGGGTTCTAGATGGAAGGGTCTTTACAATCCTAAGGGCCGTGGTTTCCCAGATGTTGCCGCACAAGGTGTTAGATTCCATGTTGTGTTAGTATTTTCCCTCCATTTGAAGTGGCTTCTGAATTGCCATACTGATATTATATCTTAGGGATGTTGATTCTATCACCGGAGTTGCACAAGATCAATTACTTTCTGGGACTAGGTATGACTTACTTGCTTATATATTGCTCATTTATTTTCCCTCTCCTTCCCCTCTTCTCACATTCCACCATAACTAACATCCCCTCCCACTAGCGCATCCGCCCCAGCTTTCGCAGGTATCATCTCCCTCCTCAACAATGCCCGTCTGAATGCCGGTCGTAAACCACTCGGTTTCCTCAACCCTTGGCTCTACTCAATCGGGAAGAAAGGTCTTACCGATATTGTTCACGGAGGCAGCACCGGATGCACGGGAATCGATGTGTACTCTGGCTTACCAACTCCATTCGTACCATATGCTAGTTGGAATGCGACAAAGGGATGGGATCCAGTGACTGGATTAGGAACTCCAGATTTCAAAACTTTGTTGAAGTTGGTTAATAAAAAGGACTAAGTCATTTCAAGATGAGGGGAGTGAGTAGAGAAATACAAAATGTCCTCGCGTTGGTTAACGGGAAGCCGTGATAATCCCAGAAGGTTGTCCTGGTGGATTGTTTTGTTGATCGGAATAGGATAATACAAATTCAAATACATGTACAATTTTTGAAATAATCTCAGTTATCAGTGTGCCTACATACCCATGGACGTTATGATTTATAAGACTCCTTTACTAGGGAATTTAACGTTGGATGTATACCTAGGTAGGTAAATGTAACAACCCAATAAATTGCTAGCGAGAATTGAGTAATCAGATTTAGATTGAGATCTTACAGGGATAGATTATGAGCATATAGTATACAATATATGGTAAGAAATATCAGATTTGGGTTATTAGATTTGAAGTTTGAAGTTTGAAGTAGAGATATTTGTGATGATGATGGGAGCTTGTTTGATGAAAGTATAATTAGTCGTTGGAATTGAAGCTAAGATTGAAGATTGTATTTGAGCTTGAACTTGAGGATAGGAAGATTGAGAAATAGAGGATGGTTTGTAGATTGGAAGGGAGGGTGTTTTTGAGATTGTAGATGGGGATGGATTGAGGTGTGTATGAGATAGGAGAGGAGATAGGAGAAGGAGGATGAAAGAGTAGGAGAGTAGAAGAGAAGAGTAAAGCAAAGAGGAGGGGTGAAAAGGGAAAAGAGAAATAGGAAGAGAGGTAGAACGAATAGGAAAAGTTTGAGATGGTAGGTAGATGATGGATATTAGATTTTAGAGCTTTGCGAGTGAGGAGGGAGGATCGGATTATGTGAGATAGAAGAGGGTAGTGGAGAGGTAGGAGATTGATAGAATGGGAATATATTGTATATTTCAAAGCAAACTCGGAGATTTGGGGGTGGTTAGCTCTAAGATGAAATGTATAATAAGATTTGGATTTGAGTTCTAGAGTCTTGTTTGTATGAGGGTGGATATATATTGTTGCATATCTCAAAGAAGAACTGCTGAATTTTCAGGATGTATGCTTTTGAGATGTTTAACAGGAGTCTAGTAAGTTTATTTGATGAAAGGTGGTGGAGCAGTTAGGTTTTGTTGCACGTCTTGGAAGAAGAACCGTTGGATTTCCAGGGTGAACTATTTTAAGATATGCAACAAAAGTTTGGGAGATTTTTTTTGAAACAGGTGGAGGATAGAAGGAAGGATAGTTAGGTTTTGTTGCATGTCTTCAAGGACGAACTGTCAGGTTTTCAGAACAAATGGCTCAACATATACAATAATAAAAGTGCTATGAATTATTTGACTGAAAGGAGGGAAAGGAGGCTGGTTAGGTTTTGTTGCATATCTTCAAAACCGAACTGTCAGATCTTTAGGACGAACTGTGAGGTCTTCAAAACGAATGCCTCAAGATATGCAACAAGAGTTCTATATCTATAAATGATTCAAAAGAAAAAGGGGAGACAAAAGGGGACAGAGTAGAAGGAAGGAAAGCTAGGTTTTGTTGCACATCTTGGAAGAAGAACTATCAGATCTTCAGGATGAACTCTTTTAAGATGTGCAATAAGATGTTAATAGATCTGTTTGAGAGAAGGGGTTAGAATTGTGCAGTGAATATTCAGGAGAAGGAAATGGGAAGAAAGCTTTATTGCATATCTTCGAAGACAATCTGTCAGATCTTCAGAAGGAATGCCGCGAGATATGTAACAAAACCCAATAGATCCATTTCAAGCAGGGGAGTGAAAAGGATGATTGCTCAGATCAGCAGAAAGCGAAAAAAAGAAGATACCGCAAACGAACTTCCATTACACCTCACAAAAAGAAACCACCCAGATTCTCAAATCTCCAGCACATCACTCTCGAGAAGCGGAACAAACGCCGAAATCTAACTCACTCCTCCTCCGATCTACTTTTCGAAACGAAAGAAGCGCATCTCAAACCCCCCACAGTTCCACGAAGCCCCTTTCAGGAAAAACTTAGTACAGCGATTATCTAAATCTGAAGTTCTAAATAATCATCACATACCATATAGATAGATACCCACCCCTACTGATATTATGAAATAATATAATACAGAAGAAAGACAAGATTATAAATCTCATCCAGAAAATAACTAGCTGTACTAAAAGATTCTCTTCCTCTTTCCTCTTTCCTCTTTCCTCTTTCCTCTTTCCACTCTAGCTTTAGCTTTTGAAACTCTCTCCTCCTCCTTATTCTCATAATACTATAACATACCTACCAGATAGGTAGATATACCCATATAACACAAAATCCCCCCCCCTCTCTTATTCTTTTTCTTCATTACTCGAACCCTTACCTATACACAAACAATATCAACATTCCAAAACATAAAAAAAAAAAATTAAAAAAAAATTTATTTATATATAAAACAAAATAGATACCTATATACTAAGATTACCAAATCCAATCCAATCCAATCCAATCAATACCCCAAACACAAAAAACCAAAAAACAATATCCTTAAATCCATATATATATATATATATATATATGCAACACTTACCTAGTACCCACTTAGTTTCATTCTGTAATACAACCTACCAACCAACCAACAAAACAATTAATCAAATCAAATATTCTCCATCAATATCACTATCACTATCATCATCACACTCACTCTCCCCCTACTCCCCCCTCCCGCTCCCATTCTCAACGCAACACAATACAACACCACCATCTGGAAATATCAAGGACCTCGCTTAATTTCTTTCTTCTACACACCTACCTATCTACTTTCCTATCTGAATGACATCACGAGAGTGAACATCAAACCACATATGAAAGAGAGGAAACACCCAGGCTGCTGCATGGGTTTATAAGAAGAGAGATAAAAATCACCAATGATGGAAATAACGCATATCATATCATATTCCATTCAAACATTTCTCTTCGCTCACTATACAGCTATTTTCACCACTTCTCCCTCTCATTTCCACACATCAAACTATGTTCTTCATTCCATGATATACCAAGTCAATAAATCCATCCACTCAATCTACGAACATTCACCACCCAGCATTCCTAGTTCCCCGCTCAAAAATTCCTCCGCATTAACCAACTCCGTACTTCCATAAACCACTCTTCTCTTGCCCATTCCTCCCCCACCCTCCTTATTAACTCTTCTCGTCCACTCCTGTAAATTTCCGTATTCATCCATACTACCCCCACCAACTGTAAAAACGATTGCTTCACTGAACCCTTGTCTGCGCATACCAAAACTCGGTGTAATACCTGGCCCTTGTAGACTTCCTGGCATTTCATTTCTTCTGCTCGTGCTTGCTGGTGGTACGGCACCTCTTGCGTTTGCGGATCTAGGGTCAAAGTAAAGATAATCTTCCGTTTTTGCTATTGCGGAACTAGAAGCGGATTGAGGATCCATAATCGATTCTGTAATTTTTGTGACAGTAAGATCACGGTTTGCGGGAAGGAAATTCTTTACTCCGGATATTAAATTATCGAAATTGGTGGTAATACCAGTTTCTTTAAGGGATGTGGTGAGGCGAGAAGAAATGGAGGAGAGACCACGGAAAAGATCTCCAGATGTACTTGGTGGTTGAGAAGCAGGGGTAGGAGCCGTGGTGAGCATTGTCATTCGGGTTGTGGTACGAACTCTGAATTAATTGTTAGTCGCATCAACTAAATAAAACAAACGAATAGATGACTTACTGTTTGACATATGCCAGAGATGTAGTGTCAGCACCTGCATTTTTCAGTGACTCTTCAAATTTGTCCATCTCAGACCTCGTGATTTCTTGTTCGGTACTCAAGTACCAGATGATAAATAATCTCAATTTATCTGTTGGTTCTTTGCCTTTATCTGCATCATTTATGACCTCAAGCATTTGCGCTTTTGTTTGCTTCATGATATTTTCTTCCATTTGATAGAAGTTATCCAATTGTCGATCCTTTATACCGGTTAAAAGTCCAGCTAATATATTCATGTGCATATCCAGCACAGCTTTTCGTTCTCTCAATTCGGGAAGTAAGGTAATGGCAGCCTTCAGATGTTGTGCTGAGGCACTCGTATCATTTTGAAGATCTTCTATGGAAGAAGCACCTGTCTTCTTCGTTATATCAGTTGCATCGGCCTTGTATCGCATCAGTTCTGCATCAATATCCTCCGCTACTTGTGGAAACGGCACAGCGGAATTCTTTGCCCAGAAAAAGTCATTCGCATTCAAATCGTAGGCCTTTTTAGTTGTACCCTTTGCCGGATTCTCCTCATCTATTGGTGTCTCGACGGTAATTCGATTTAATTTCATTTTGAGAACATCATGTACAAGTGACTGATATGTCCAGGAGTGCGACAACATAGGAATTAAATCAACATTTCGATCGAGTATAATAAGAACAGGTCGAGCAGAGGGCGCAATGGTAGATTGACGATTGGCGGGGCCGGAGAAAAGATTGTCTTTTGAATTTAGGACATGGTCTCTCAATTTTCGATCGAGTTTAGCAGAGATCATTTCTGCTGCTGCACCAGGAGGACATCTGATTATTGGCATAACGCCTGTAAATTGTTAGTCGGGCGCCAATATAAAATCATCAAAAGTCTCACCCATTGTGACCATAACACTGAAAAGTCCGCTGACGATTCTATCAACCACGTTGTCCAATTCCTCATCCTTTGTCTTTGCGCTGTTCAATGCCCAGTATGTATTCTGCTTTCTCATCCCAAGACTAAAGAGGTCCGGTTCTCCCACAATAAAATTCAGGTATTGATCAAAAAATTGTGCAATATTTTCTGATGTCCCAGCTTCCACAGTTTGCTTTGCGAAATCTTCTAATAATGCGCGGGGTATCGAGGAGAGGAAGTTGATGTATGCAGGAGAATAGAGACCTTTCGAGAGATCACTGGTAATTCCCTTCAAGTTGGCTTCCGTAGGCTCAACCAAATATAATACTGGAACATCTGGAATGGGGTGTCGATTTGCTGTAATATGCCTAATTCCATCAGTACTTTTCAAGTCACATTGAAGCTCTTGCTTCCCCGCACATCAACAT